CTATGATTATATGTATCAATTGCCACTGCCGAGTGGGGTCCCGTCTTACAGGGACAAACCTAACATACCGCAGCTCGTCGAGCAAGCAAAAAATTCGTTGTATGACATGTTTAGGGAAACAGCGATCGCACATGGAGATTCTACCAGCACATTTGTTCGTAGCAGCAGCGCAAGCGGCAGCGGGTCTTCATCTTCATACGGAGGGCAAAGCGGCAATACAAACTACGGAAACTTCAAAGTGTTTTGGGATTCATTAAATCCCTACAAAAATTCGGGCGGTCAAAGGGTGCAGGGGACTGGATACTATGAGCTGGATCACTACCTTACATCGAATTTAGCCGTTACGATTGCACATCCACCTCAACCGCCACTCGATGTGTTAGATTGGTGGTCAAGAATGGAAGGAATTTTTCCTATTCCATGCATTATGGCCAAGGAGATCTTTGCTGTCCCAGCATCTACAGTCGCGGTTGAGCAAGCATTCAGTGAGGGCGGCTACATGCTAGATCCACGACGGTCGAGGATGACGCCTGATAATCTTCAAGCACAAATGTTACTGAGTGATTGGAAGAAGGCCGAACGAAGGATGCAAACTGCTATGCTCACTTCAAATGAGGAGGATGACGACAACGACGATGCATCCGATTTTACGTCGTCGACAAGTGGAACCGGGGGGGACGTCGAAGACGAATACGAGTATTAAAGGTATGCAGCCAAGGTATGTGATTTAGAAGAACTACGTGGACTTTGATTCCCAAATAAAGGGATACATAGGCACCTTATTTAACATTATTAAGTTCGAGTATAATTTTTTGGCATCAAAATTTTTCATCGTACACGATATTCGAACTTAATAACTGTTAACTAAGCTCAAGTCCATTCCATTAATAATTTTTTTCTTTACACTTATTTTTTAAGTATATACAAACTATTTATTCAAATAAACATTAATATACATTAAAGTTAAAAAAAAAAATTAAAAACCCGTAAACCCGGCGGGCTCGGCCCGAACCCGGCTCAACCCGCCGGGTTTTTGACCCGGCGTATTAGGGCCAGTTCAGTGAACCGGCCCTTACTTACCAGCGGGCCGGGCCCGGTTCAATATATGCTAACCCGCCGACCCGGCGGGCCGGGCCGGGTTTCGACCCGGCCCGGCAAATGGCCATGTCTACTTTCTCCAAACTTTCTTCTGCAGCTCCCCATCCCTACTTGTTCCAACATGTTCTCCATTCCTCTTCTTTATCCTATGAATCAATTTATATGCACTTTTCACTGTGAATCTCCCACTGTCTTCAAAATGCCATATGATCTTGTCTTGCATCCCTGTATGACTGATATGAATTTTGAGAATATTTGTAGCATCATTTGGAGAGAAAGACTGCATAATTTGCTCAGTGTCCCATGCTTTTCCATCCGCTGTCATCAGATCAGATACTTTGCATAACCTTTCTCTACTCCCTTCAAAATAGCAAACAGGTTTAAACAAATGAGTATCAGGTATCCAAGGATTTTGCCATATATCTATAGATTGCCCAGTCCCAACCTGATATCTAAAACCCAACTTAAGAACATCCCTAACCTCCAGCCAACTCCTCCACATCCATGAATCCCTATCCCTCTTCTGAACCTCCCATAAACATTTCCTATATAAATATGTCCCCCTGATTAACCTACTCATAAGTATGTTAGGTTTTGTCAAAACCCTCCATAGCTGTTTCATGAGTAAGGCTGTATTAAAATCTATTAAGTCCCTGAAACCCATACCACCCTCCCCCTTATCCCTAGCTAGATAACCCCACTGAGCCCAATGTATTCTTTTACCCCCCTCTTCATTTTTTCACCACCAAAAACCTGCTATCTCTCTACAAATCTCCCTGCACACACTCACTGGTATCTTATAAACTGACATTACATACACAGGAAGAGCACTCAACACTGTTTTTATAAGCACCTCTTTACCTGCTTCACTCAGAAAATTATGCTTCCAATTTGTTATCTTAGCAACTACACTCTCTTTCACAAAAGAAAAGGTATCTCTCTTATTTCTCCCTATCCCCAAAGGAAGCCCCAAATATTTGGAGCTCTTAGCCACCACAATTCCATTCAAAATAAGACAAATAGAATTTTTAACAGATTCAGGAGTGTTCCCAGAAAAGAAGATATTAGATTTGGCAAGATTTATAGACTGACCAGACATAGAACAATATATATTCAAAATATGAAGAATTTGAGAAGCATGATGATTATCAGCTTGACAAAAAATGAGGGAATCATCTGCAAAAAATAGATGAGATATACTAGGAGCATGTTTACAAACTTTAAGCCCTATAAAGGATTTGGAAATGCAAGCCTGGTGAATTAAGTTTGACAAAACTTCTGACAAAATGATAAAGAGATAGGGAGATAAAGGATCTCCCTGCCTCAAACCTCTAGTAGGAGTCAGATTACCCACGACTTGCCCATTTATATTGAAGGAAAAGGAAGTAGAAGATATACAAGCCCATATCCATCTCATACAAACTCTAATCAAGAAGCCCCATTCCACCCTGTCATATGCCTTTGCCATGTCCAATTTAGTGGCCATGAGACATTTTCTCCCCTTTTTCTTTCTATTTAGGGCATGAATACATTCATTTGCTATTACAACATTATCTAAGATCAACCTATCTGGAACAAAAGCAGATTGGGTTTGGGATATGCACACATGAAGGACTGATTTCATTCTATTTGCTAAAATCTTAGCAATCAGTCTATAGGTGACAGAACAAAGGCTAATGGGTCTATAATCAGTTATTTTCTAGGGAAATTTAATTTTTGGTATCAGAGTTATGATTGTGTGATTTGTGGCTTTTGGGATGCAACAGGTTTGAAAAAAATTTGAAATGGCATTGGTTAAATCATGTTTGATTAAGTCCCAGGATGACTGAAAAAATACAGGTGATAAACCATCCATACCTGGAGTCTTATTTGGATCCATCTCCCACAAAGCTGCTTTTATCTCTTCTTCTGTCACTGTTCTAGTGAGCCTTTGGTTCATGGTAGATGTTATGGATTTTGGAATTCCTTGCAACACCTCTGGCTGGAATATTGGATTCTGTGAGCTGAACAGTTGCTTGAAAAACTCAGAGATCTCTTTTAATGATTCTTCTGCATTTTCACACTTCTTTCCCCTCCTTGTGACCAAGTTCTCCAAACTATTTCTGCTCCTCCTTTGTCTAACACACACTTAAAAAAATCTTGTATTAATGTCACCTTCTTTAAGCCATCTTATCCTTGCCTTTTGTTTCCAAAAAATCTTCTCCTCCTTGTATGCTTGGTGAAGTTGCTTCTTGTATTGGACCCACTCATCCCAATCCCTACCACCTTCTTGTTGTCCCAACAATTCCAACTTTGCATTGCAAGCTCTTATTGTATCTGCTGCATTTAATTTCTGGCTTGCTATCCATCCCAGCAATCCCAACTTCACACTCCTCAGTTTCTTCTGAAATCTGTACATACCAATTCCATTCACCTCTGTGTCCCATGCTTTCTTAAGACATTCTGAGTATCCATCTGCATTTATCCATCTGCAATCAAACAAAAACCTCTTCTTCCTGCAGTTACTATGGCCCTCAGTATCCATAATTAGAACACAGTGGTCAGAAGAGACCTGCTGAATGTGCTGAACCCATACATCTGGAAAAACAGATAACCAATCCAGGGAGACAAAAACTCTATTTAATTTAACTTCTATAAACTCCCCCCCTTTCCTGTTATTTGACCAAGTATATGGATGACCTTTACTAGGACATTCCATACCATTCAGGTCAGACACAAAATCCCTGAAAACCTTAAAACTTGATTCTCCCCTCAAAACTCCCCCTTTTTTATCCTCATTACAAAGGATATCATTAAAATCCCCTGCAACAATCCACATTTTGCCCCACTGATGCTTCTTGTTACTAAGATAATCCCATTGAGATTTCCTCTCAATAGGATCATTACTAGCATATACAAAAACCCCCCACCATACATCACACCCCCCTTTCCATTTAAAACCCACCTCTATGCAAAAATCAGTGGATATAATATTAACTACATCTATATTAATAGACCAACCCAACAAAAGTCCACCCTTTTTATTAATAGGGTTCACATAAAACCACCTACTATCAAAATGAAGATTTCTGCATACAGTTTTGACAAAAGATAACTTCTTTTTAGTTTCAGAAACAAACACAAAATCAAGGAGATAGGCTCTAATATTTGCCTTCAACTGGGGAATTGTAGAGGCTCCTCCCAAACCTCTACAATTCCACACCAAAACTCACATTTTGAACTCTGGGACCACTTTTGGCTGGTCTCCTCCACCTTTTGATCACTACTAATTACAACTTGTTTAAGTTTTTTTGCAGACAAATTTTCATTAATAACAACAGCCCCCACAGTCCCAGGTAAAGCTTTCCTCTTCAGAGAAATTTGGCTTCCCTGCAGATTACTCAAAGCAACTTGTTTATCAGATGTTTTGTTTCTACCATCAACAAGTTTACTTCTGGTAATCCTACCAACAGATCTCTGGTTTTTGTTCTTAGTACCCTTTTGGTCAATCTGTCCCACTGGAACATTTACAAGGTTACTAAGATCTAAACCTTTGATCTTACTTTCATCCAGCTCCATAGGTTCTATTAAAATAGAGCCTACTTCCTTGCTCACCACCCCTTTGCCAATATCTGGACTTGGCTCATTAGTATTACTCACCAGCTCAGGACTTTGATCCCTTTGTCCTATCCCATTCCCTACTTCTTCTCCTATGTCCTCAGGACTATAAGTAGGATAAGGAATAGGAACAATAGGCAGAACATTTATTTGATCATCCCCCTCTCCATTATTCCTATTCTTTCTAGGCTCAGTCCTCACCCGCTCACTTGAAGGACTAGAGGGACTAGAAGATCTCCTTTCTCTAAATTCAGAGAACATACCTGGAGATCCTCTTAACCATTCCCCATACTGCCCCGATTTCAGCACATTTTTTTGCACATCGACTTTCTTAACCACACATATTCTATCATTATGTCCTATCCGGCCACAGTAAAAACAGAAAGTAAGTAGGTTTTCGTACCTGAACTCCACCCAATGTTCTTCATCCCCCAGTTTTATAGTTGTTCCTCTGGGTATCGGCTCCATGACATTCACCGCCACAAGGATCTTTACTACATTTCCAATGTAACTAACTGGTCCTGGCACTATAACATCCAACACTTTGTCGAAAATTTGCCCAATTTTCATCCCTGTTTCCTCTGATATCCAATGGAGTGGCAGTTTGTGGATTTGCACCCATAAGTCGACTTTTAGTTCCTCATCCTTGAAATCAATCGCATTCTTCTTCCATTCCTTTAGTAGTAAGTATTGCCCGTCAAAGGACCATGTTTTGCCATACAGAACTCTGGTTTTATCCTCCTCTGACTGGAACATGAATTGGAACAGGTTTTGGCCAAGTGCTCTGTAGGTGAAAGGATTTGAGGTGCGCCAAACTGCAGCCAGAGTCGTTCTTAACCCATTCAGATTTACTTTCTTCTCGCCAATGATCTTCCCAATCAGACTTAGTTCACATACCTGGAGGCTTGAGCCAATATCAGAATCTGCGAGAGTAACACCAGCTCTTTCCTTTTCCGACAGCGCAAATTTTGACATCTTTTCAGCCAGATCGTGAGCCATATTGTTTGTCTACCAACCAACACTCACTAGATACAGAACAGTAGTCGAGACTAAAGCAACCTGAAGAAGATATATACAAAATAAAACCCAGGTTAGAAGAGAAAAATGGCAACTAAAAAGAAGAAACTGGAATCCGAAAATCCCATAAATCCACTCTAGAAACCCTCCTCTCTTCCCGCCTTAAACTCCCAAATCGACAAAACCCAAAATCTAATTCGCACCAAAAATCTCGAAACCCTAATAAAAAAAAAATAGGATCTACAATGAAGAGATAATAATAACTGAGGAAAAAACAAGGAGAGAAACGCGATCAGAGAAGGGAAAACAAGGAAAAAACGGCGAGCACAACAAAGGAGAAGTTGATCGAAGAGGATCGATTTCGAGAACACTCCACACGTGATGGAACTAAGAACTCCAAAAGGAGAGGTTTTTCCAAAGAGGAAACTAGTCGTAAAATGTATGTTAAATATTGAAAATTTGTAAGAATTCATGTTAAATAATATGATCTTCTATTTTTAATATATGTCGTTTTGAGAAGTTGCACACTAATTAAGAATTTTTTTTGCCAATAATAAACTTATTTAATGAAGATAGAGATAAATGTTTTAAGAAAAGATGAATAGTGAATATGAAAAGGCGTAATGTATTTATTAGTTAAATAAGGGTAATAATAGAAAAATATGTACAAAAAATCCACAACGACATTTATTTGGTTAATAGTTGATAAGCCAAAATGACATTCCAAAAAATAGGAGAGAGTAAATTTTGAAAAACATTATTTTTGAATTGTAGATGCGTATAATAATGGTTGGAGAAGAATTAATGTTTGATTGAAAACTTATTACGTCATTGAGGTTTATAATGAGTTTTTGAGTAGAAATAGACTAAAATTGCTACCTGCTCCTTTTAGTAGTGTTCTCATAACTTGACTGGTCGTTGAACCAATCGAGGTTTAGAATGAGTTTTTGAGTAGAAATAGAGTAAAATTGTTACCCGCTCCTCTTAGTAGTGTTCTCATAACCTGACTGGTCGTTGAAACAATCAAGTCGACGGTTCAATGTTTCACTGTTCTGACTAGCGAATTGAAGCGATATTTGATTAAATATTACTTTTAAATAATAAATTTTGATATAAAAAAGTATCATTCATTAAATATTAAGACATTAGTAATGCTCACCTACCCATGGTGGGCACATGTTAATATGTCCACTGTTTATGTGGCATGCACTCATTGGAGATGTATTTTCTTGAATATATTTTTTTTTGGTACAGGGACCTTCCGGTTTCCAGATCCACAGGGGAACCGACAAATCCGAAATCCGACTAATCCATTGGAGATGTATTTTCTTGAATATATTAACATCACAAATGTGTGCATGCCACATAAACTGTGGGCATATTAATATGGGGTCAAAATCTTTTTCACCCCATTATAAATCTATTCTTTCTTTTACACACCGCCCCATCAAATAACTTCTTTTACACCCCAAA